TCCAAGGACTTGGCCATCTTCTACTGCTTTCCCAGGCCATAGCAGGGTGCTGAATCAGAAGAGGCTCAGCCGGTACTAGAACCGGTGCCCATATGGGATGCCAGCGCCGCAGGTGGAGGATTAACCTACTGCACCACAGCAGTGGCCCCATCAACAATTTGAGATAGGGAGATCTTTAAGTGCTATATACTATACTTTTCTGTTCTCTTTTTCTCCTCTTTCAATTAGCAGGCTGTCAGCCTGATTCTGTGTAGAAGTTCATGATGGAATTTCTTATACTTGCTAAAAATGAAGCTAACCATAGTATGTGCCCCAGGGGATTTTCCTGAGTGAGAATCATCCAGCCAGTGGGTGTTAGGCACTGTGGTTGCTGGGAGTGCAGTGGTGCTGAACAAGACATAGTGTGCACCTGTATGGGGCAGGCACCAGAACGAGGAAAGCATAGCCACATCAACAGGGTGATGGGCTAGAAAGGAGCAGCTGAGGCCATTTCATTAGATAGACTGGCTGGGATGCCAGCTTTTCTGGGAGGTGACAGAAATGAACAAGCCAGTGAATATCTGGAGGAGACAGCAATCTGGGCAGAGCAGAGAAACTGTAAGATTAGCGAGCAGTATTTTGGGGCAGAAACAAACCTGCTATGACTGGAGTAAGATGAGGCAGACACCTGGGAGTTATTAGAGTCTTTTAGGCCTTAGGTTTTCTTGTTTGTTTGTTTGTTTAAGGCAGTTTTAAAAAATATCACTTCTGCCGGCGCCGTGGCTCAATAGGCTAATCCTCCACCTTGCGGCGCCGGCACACCGGGTTCTAGTCCCGGTCGGGGCGCCGGATTCTGTCCCGGTTGCCCCTCTTCCAGGCCAGCTCTCTGCTATGGCCAGGGAGTGCAGTGGAGGATGGCCCAGGTGCTTGGGCCCTGCACCCCATGGGAGACCAGGAAAAGCACCTGGATCCTGGCTCCTGCCATCGGATCAGCGCGGTGCGCCGGCTGCAGTGGCGGCCATTGGAGGGTGAACCAACGGCAAAAGGAAGACCTTTCTCTCTGTCTCTCTCTCTCACTGTCCACTCTGCCTGTCCAAAAAAAAAAAAAAAAAATCACTTCTCTGTGGAGAGTGGATTGCCAAGAGGAGTGGGGAGAAGAGCATTAGGCGGCTGTAGTAGTTATGTAGGCCATGGCAGTTAGCAGTGCAGTGGAGAGGAGCAGATGGAGTCAAGATATGTTTTAGAGTATAAAATGTGTTAATGTAGTTAAAATATTTAGCACAATGCCTGGCACTTGGTAAATACTATGTTGGGTTTTTTAATTTGTTTTTAATTTGAAAGGCAGAAAGAGAATTGTCTTCCATCTGCTGGTTCACTTCCCAGATGCCTGCAAGACATGGGTCCAGTGGAAACCAGGAGCCAGGAGTTCATTCTGAGTCGCCTGCAAGAGTGGTAGGGACCTAGGTTCTTGAGCCATCACCTGCTGTACATTAGCAGGAGGCGTTACTGAAAGTGGAGCTGTGGGGGTTGGTGGTGGTGTGCGTGGGTTAAGCTGCCACCTGCGATACTAGCATCCCATATGATGGTCAGTTCTAGTCCCAGCTGTCGGACCTGTCCCACTTCTGATACAGCTCTCTGCTAATGCACCTGAGAAAGCAGCAGAAGATGGCCCAAGTTCTTGGGCCTCTGCAACTCATGTGGGAGACCCGGATGAAACTCCTAGTTCCTGGCTTTGGGCTGGCCGAGGCCGTTGCTGCCATCTGGAGAGCGAACCAGCAGATGGAAGATTCTCTAACTCTTTCTTTCAAGTCAATAAATAAATCTTAAAAAAAAAAAAAAAAAAACATGGAGCAGGACTCAAACCCAGGGATTCTGATACAGGATGCAGATGTCCCAGGTGGGGACTTAACTGCTGTGCCGCGTGCTCCCCTTGGTTAAATGTTTTTATTTTTATTTTTACTTCTAAGCAAATGTCAAGAAAGAGAATTAAACCAGGCTGTGGAGTTCTGTGCCAGGACGCGGTGCAGGAGGTTCTTAGCATCTCCTGTTTCTTTTCTCTGTTTTGGAGAAAAACCACATCGTCAGCAGATCACCAGGCTGAGCTACTCTCTTTAGGTCACAGTCACACTTTTGCTTATTAGATGGTTACGGATAAAAGGGATTTTGGTGCACTTTGGACTCACTGAAAGGATAAAAGTAACCTGGACATAGTCAATGTATCAGTATTACATAGGCTTTCACAAATTGTGATGATGTTAGTTAAAACCTTGATGAAGTTCCAGATAATTTAGCGATGGATTTATTTGTACTTAAAGAAAAGTTTAAGCTTTAAAAAACATGGAAAAATACAAAGTTTGAAGTAAAAATTATGCATAAGCCAGATATTTCACCAGTAGCATTTTTTAAAATAACTTTTTTCCTTTTTTTGAGAGAGAGGGGCCTCCGTCTGCTTGTTCACTTCCCAAATGCTTGCAACAATTGAAGCTGGACCAGATTGAATCCTGGAGCTGGGCATTCAATCTGTGTCGCCCACATGGGTGGCAGGTACCCACCTGCTTAAGCGTCACTGCTGCCTCCCAGTCCCTGCATGACCAGGAAGGTAGACTCAGGAGCCTGAGCTGGGACTCAAACTCAGGTTCTCCCCAGTGTAGATGAAGGTGTCCTGATCAGCGTCTCAGTGGCCAGGTCAAAGCCTGCTCCCTATTTAGTTTTCTGTATGGCAGTGCCTTAGAAATTCTGGGGAAAGGGACTGGCATTCTGGCATAGTTGCTGCCCATGACACTGGCATCCCATATGGGTGCCGTTCGAGTCCTGACTGCTCCACATCTGATCCAGCTCCCTGCTAATGCACCTGGGAAGGCATCGGAAGATGGCCCAAGTACTTGGGCCCCTGTACCCATGTGGGAAACCTGGAAGAAGCTCCAGGCTCCTGGTTTTGACCTGGCCCTGCCCCTGCCCTAGCCATTGTGGCCATCTGGGGAGTGAACCAGAGGATGGAAGATCTCTGTCTCTTCCTCTCTGTGTAACTCTGACTTTCAAATCAATACATCTTAAAAAAAAAAAAAACTGGGGAGAAAAACTACTTAAGTAGACTAAGTACAGGGACTGACATCTGGAAGATTTAAGATACAAGCTTGACTCTGGACCTGAAATTAGTAAACTCAAACTGCAAGAAATCTTTTTGTTTTTATCGTTGTTGTAGAAATAACAGTAGACCTAATTGTCAGTTTACATGGGTTAGAAAAGGATGTTTTTCTTTGTTTTTTGTTTTAATTGTCCACAATCTAAACAAAGGCCAGAGTTAAGTGATAGGTTACCATCCAGATTAGACGTAGGAGAAATGGCTCCTGGCTTCAGATTGGCCCAGCTCTGCCCATTGCAGCTATTTGGGGGAATGAACCAGCTGATGAAAGATCTCTGTCTCTCTGCCTCTGCTTTGGCCTTTCTTTAAAAAAAAAAATCGCAAAACAAATTAACATTTTTATAAGATCATTATTAATTACTGAGAAAGTTTCAGCTCTTTTTTTAATTTTTATTTATTTATTTTTTTGACAGGCAGAGTGGACAGTGAGAGAGAGAGGGAGAAAGGTCTTCCTTTTGATGTTGGTTCACCCTCCAATGGCCACCGTGGCCAGCGCACCGCGCTGATCTGATGGCAGGAGCCAGGTACTTCTCCTGGTCTCCCATGGGGTGCAGGGCCCAAGCACTTGGGCCATCCTCCACTGCACTCCCGGGCCACAGCAGAGAGCTGGCCTGGAAGAGGGGCAACCGGGACAGAATCCGGCGCCCCAACCGGGACTAGAACCCGGTGTGCCGGCGCCACAAGGCGGAGGATTAGCCTAGTGAGCCGCAGCACCGGCAGAAAAGTTTCAGCTTTTAAACACCCAACACTTCACTCTTGGAAAACCTTGGCTATCTGTAATGATATAATTTCATTATTTTACCTAAATATATGAATCATATCTAGACAGAGTTTTTGAGTTCTTTTAAAAAGAGGAATTCTTGGGGCCTGCACTGTAGCATAGTGGGTAAGGCTGCTGCCTGCGGTACTGGCATCCTGTATGGATGCCAGTTCAAGTCCCGGCTGCCCTACTTCCTATCCAGCTCTCTGCTGTGGCCTGGGAAAGTAATAGAGAATGGCCCAAGTCCTTGGACTCCTGCACCCACATGGAGACCTGGAGGAAGCTCCTGGCTAGTGGTTTCAGATTGGCACAGCTCTGGCCGTTGGCCATCTTGGGAATGAACTGGTGAATGGAAGACCTCTCTCTCTCTCTCTCTCTCTCTCTCTCTCTCTCTCTCTGCCTCTCTGGGGCTCTGCCTTTCAAGCAAATAAATAAATCTTGAAGGAAAAAAAAAAGAGAAATTCTAAGTAGAGATTTAGTTTTCTACCACTTTGGTGCAACTGTGGACTGACTCTGTTTTTCCCCTTCTGTGTTTTAGCCCTCCAAGCCCACAGTCAACCCAGATGTAGCAGCTGAAGTGCTTCGTGATTAGTCTCCTAGGCTTCCCTCAGTTAAAATCCCCTTATACTGAGGCATCTCACCAAATGTTGGTCTAATTATCTAATTAAAAATCAGTGACAATATGAATGACTGATTAATATTCACTTACTGCTTCCAAAATGAAGGAGCAGTTCATCTCCAGCAACTAGAAGGAGGATTCATGGTTATTTTGAGTGCGATGCCCTCCTGACCACCCTCTCCCTCCAGTCTTCTATTCTGAAAAATATTTTATGCTAACCTTTTTTTGGGCATGCAACCAGCATATAAAATAAAGATTATCTTTTATGTTCCAGAGACTTTTCAGAATGTCTGAATAATATGAACGTTTGATTTTTATATATGTTTTAAAGGTTTTGTATAGATAAATTTACAAATTAGAGAAAATTGGAATATTTTCCTTCTTACAAATTGTAGTCCTTCTGTATCTAGAGGTCATCAGAAATACCTCCATTGGAGGGATGGCTTGAAATTGTGTGTTTGTGAGTTTGTTTGAAATTAAAATAATTTTTTTTCTTTTAGAATGGCAGAATTTTGGAAGCTTTGCAAATGTAGTTCCTTGTAGTCACCCATATCTTTGTACACTAAGTCAAGTAAAGTTGTACTCTACAAATGCCCAGAAAGAAGGACAGGGATCTGAATCTCCCAGAGTGGAAAAAGTGCCATCATTTGATGAAACAGGTATGTCAACAGTTTTAAATTTTCTTCTTTTTCTTTCTTTCTTTCTTTTTTTTTTTTTTGGTATGCTGAATTACTTTGTGTAAAATTGTTCCTAGGATGTTTGATAGAACTTGTAACTTTCTGGACTGATGTTTTCCTTGTGGGAGCTATTAAACTGCTGGCTTAATTTGATTTTTCTATTTGTTTTTTACACAGTTTTCGTAAGTTCTGTTTTTTTTTTTTTTTTTTTTTGCTATGATTTTTCCCACTTAACCTAAATTTTAAATTTATTGGCATAAAATTCATGGATATTCTCATGTTTACTCTCAGTTGTACGTGCAGTTATATCCTTTTCTCATTCCCAAAGATGTTTGTTATTTTCTTGAGTAATCTTGCCAGAGCTTTGTCTTTTATCTTTTTAAATATTAATTTTTTACTTTGAATCATTTTGTTGCATGTTTGTTTCTTATTTTGTTAATTTCTACTCTTTAATGATAGTCTCCTTTCTTCTTTCTTTATGTTTATTCTGTCATTGTTTTATTAAATATCAATTGGATACTTTACTCATTGATATTTTTTCTGAAGTAGGCATTTAAACCATGATAATACATCCCACAGGTTTTGATATGTAGTATCTTTTAATTATTTGTAATTATAAATGTATTCTTATTTACATTGTGATTCTTTGACTCCTTAAAGTATGATTTTAAATTGTCAGATAGATGGAATTTTGTATTAAACTTCACTGTATTGAAAAACAATGTGGGCTGTGTGATTCAGTCTTGAAATAATTGTTGAGTCTAAGTTTTGGATTATCACTTGGTCAGTTTTTTAAATAGCCCTCATGTGCTTGACTACAGTGAGTGTTTTAACTGCTGGTTCAGAGTTGATATGTGTCATTTCCAGTTTTTGTTGTTTATTCACATCTATGTTCTTCATTTAATCCATTATTATCAAGAGAGATGTTGGCATTTCATATTGTGATGGTAGGTTTAGTGTGCTTTCCTTATAGTTTGGTATAATTTTTGCTGTATATATTTTTAGTGGTTATATTTTTCATTCCTAGAAATTGTTTATCACCTTACTTGGTTAGTCTTTTACTCCTTGCTTATACAATTAAATTTCTGTTTTATTATCTTAGGTTAAACAGCTATTTTGTATCTTGTGACTGAAAATTCCACTTTATGAAACCTTTGGATTCTCTCTATATTTTCCTTTTCCTCTATTTCTTGCTCATTCATGATACCGTATCTATTTTGTAGCCATATTGTTCATTTCCGTATAGTTTTTTGATAAACTATTTGATGTTTGGATTGAAGAACTGAAGATTCATTCTTGTGTAGAGGGTTTGCTTTTGCTTCTATTACTGCTTGAGAAACAACTTGGGACCATGGTAAATTAAATTCAGTTTTAGATTTCTTAGACCGCATTGATAGCATGAATTCAGACTGCATACCTGTGTGAGTACTGACTTATCCTTAGGATTTTCAGGGGAGTTTTTTTTCTTCCTGGTTACCCAACATGAAAGCACAGACAAGCCTATTGCCTTAACGTTAAAGAAGGGTGGGTTTTGAGCTGGTAAATGGTGGAGAAAGGCGGTAAAATTGCCTAGACTAGTGAGTAGAAGAGCTGGTGGTGTTATTGGTAGTTTTGAAAGTGCAATATAAGAGGTGGAACTTGGGCCTGGCACTGTGGAGTTCTGGGTAAAGCCACTGCCTGCAGGGCTGGCATGCTGTATGGGCATTAGTTCAAGTCCTGGCTGCTCCACTTCCCATCCAGCTCCCTGCTCATGTGCCTGGAAAAGCATTGGAAGATGGCCCAAGTCCCTGGGCCCCTGCACCAACATGAGAGACTAGTTGAAGCCCATGACTTCTGTGTGACCCAGCGTTGGCCCTTGAGGCTATCTGGGAAGTAAACCAGTGGATGGAAGACCTCTTTCTCTGTCTCTCACTTTCTCTCCGTAACTCTTTAAAATAAATCTTTTTATAAAAGGAGGGGTGGTGCCAGTGTTGTGCCATAGAATGCCAGTATCCTGTATGGGCGGTGGTTGGAGACACAGCTGCTCCACTACTGATCCAGCTCCCTGCTAATGCACCTAGGAAAGCAGCAGAAGATGGCCCACATACTTGGGCCACTGTACCCACATGGGAGACCATATGGGAGCTCCTGGCTCCTGGCTTTGACCTGACACAGATCAGCTGTTGTGGCCATTCAGGGAGTGAACCAGTGGATGGAAGATGGCTCTCTCTCACTCTGCCTTTCAAATAATGAAATAAATCAAAAAATAAAAAATTAAATGAATCTTCTCTACTTAATATACTCCAATATAGAGGAAATTCTTGATCAGATGCAAAATGCAGACATTGGAATGGAGGGAGATTAGAGGAAGTACAAATGAAGGTCTATGCTAGGCTAATGGAAGTGCTTTTTTTAAAAAAAAATTTTTTTTTAATTATTTATTTGAGAGAGAGAGTTACAGACAGAGAGGGGGACAGAAAGATCTTCCATCTGCTGGTTCACTCCCCATATGGCCACAACAGCTAGAACTGGTCTGATCTGAAGCCAGGAACCAGGAGCTTCTTCTCGGTCTCCTTCATGGGTGCAGGGACCTGAGCACTTGGGCCACCCTCCACTGCTTTCCCAGGCCATAAGCAGAGAGCTGGATTGGAAGTGAAACAGCTGAGATTAGAACTGGTGCCCATTTGGGATGCCAACACTGCAGGCAGAGGCTTAGCCCACTACGCCACAGCACTGGCCCCCGGCAGTACTTTTTTTTAAAGGAATAGACAAACTCAAGAAATTTAGAAGCTGAATAATTACGACTTGATTGAATTTGAGGGATGAATGAGAGGGTTAAGTAAAGGATAATGTTTGGTTTTATGAGTTCGGCAATTATTCAGATGATTTCATTGATTTGTAAAATTACAAATACCAAAGGTAGAGCATATTTTAATGAGATGATTTGGTTTTGGGTGTCTGAATTATAGATCCGTATGAGATATCTTAAGAGATAATACAGTGAATAGTAGGGTGGTGGTATCCAACAAATGAAGTCATGTCATACATCTCTTTTTTTTTTTAAGATTTATTTATTTATTTATTTGAAAGGCAGAGTTACAGAGATGCAGAGGCAGAGAGTAAGAGAGAGAGAGAGAGGGAGGGAGGAGAAAAGGGAGGGAGAGGGGTAGATCTTCCATCTGCTGATTCACTCCCCCAAATGGCTCCAATGGCTGGGGCTGGGCTGATCCCAAAGCCAGGAGCCAGGACCTTCTTCTGGGTCTCCCATGTGGCTGCAGGGGCTCAAGGATTTGGGCCATCTTCTACTGCTTTCTCAGGCAGTAGCAGAGAGCTGGATGGGAAGTGGAGCAGCTGGGACTCCAACCAGTGCCAAATGGGATGCTGGCACTGCAGGCAATGGTTTTACCTGCTACGTCACAGCGCTGGCCCCCACAGTGTCGTACATCTTAACACTAAAACACTCTTAACACTTACAACTCTCTTTCTCTGAGACATCAGCAATCTACAGGATTACTGTAGTAGCCTGCTCCCTGGGATTCCTGCTTCCACGTGCCCTTCTGTAATACATTGTTCACATAACCAGTGGGGTCTTTGACAACTATGTCATGTCACTTCCTTGATCAAAACCCTCCATTGGCTTCCTGTTGCCCACAGAACAAAGCCTAAACTGCTGGAATCAAATTCAAAATTCATTATCCTTTCTGTGAAACCCTTCTTAGCTGATTTTTGCCACTACATTCCTTTCCATTTTCTTCTACAACTTGTGTAGCTATGCATTAGGTTTCAGCCAAACCATTCTGTTGGTTTATTCTTGTTATAGGGCCTTTGCTCTGGTTGTGTTCTCTTTCCAAGGTGCTCCTTCTTCGTGACTGACCTCTTTTGGTCATTTGCATCTTAGTTTAAATGTCAGCTCTGCCCAAAGGTAATTTTTAAAAGTTTTATGTATTTATTTATTTGAAAGGCAGCAACGAGGTGGGATCATGAGAGACAGAGAGAGAGAGAGAGGGAGAGGTAATTTTAAATATGGAAGGGGAGTGTTTAAAAGAAAGAGAAAGAAAAGAAGGGAGGAAGGGAGAAAGGGAGGGAGGAAGAAAGAAAAATCTTCTGTCCATTAATTTACGCCCCAAAGGCCCTCAACAGCCAAAGGCTGGGCCAGGCCAAGTCTAGAAGCCTGGAACTTCATCTGCGTTTCCCACATGGATGGTGGGAACCCAAGTACTTGGGCTGTTACTTGCAGCTATCTCAGGCATATTAGCAGGAAGCTGAAATGGAGGCATAGCAGCTGGGGCTTGGACTGCACTCTCATATGGGATGCCGGTGTCACAAATGGCAAGAACCTGCTGCACCACAACACTGACCTCCTCAAAGGCACTTTTTTTTTTTTTTTTATCTTTTATTTAATGAATATAAATTTCCAAAGTACGACTCATGGGTTACAATGGCTTCCCCCCCCATACCGTCCCTCCCACCCACAACCCTCCCCTTTCCCACTCCCTCTCCCCTTCCATTCACATCAAGATTCATTTTCGATTATCTTAATATACAGAAGATCAGCTTAGTATACCTTAAGTAAGGATTTCAACAGTTTGCTCCCACACAGAAACATGAAGTGAAAAATAATAGATGATTTTTTTTAAATGATGATGAAATCAGATCAGACCTATTGTCATGTTTAATCCCAGTGAGAGTCAAGTTGGGAATTGATAATTTCTTTTTTTTTTTTTTTTTTTTTACAGAAGATCAGTTTAGTGTACATTAAGTAAAGATTTCAATCGTTTGCACCCCCATGGAAACACAAAGTGAAATATACTGTTTGAGTACTCGTTATAGCATTAAGCCTCAGTGTACAGCACATTAAGGACAGAGATCCTACATGAGGAGTAAGTGCACAGTGACTCCTGTTGTTGACTTTACAAATTGACACTCCTGTTTATGGCATCAGTAATCTCCCTATGCACCAGTCATGAGTTTCCAAGGCTATGGAAGCCCCTTGAGTTCTCCGA